TGAATGTGCGCTCCCCATCCAAACAGGCTGGCATCGGTGGTGATGCTAAGTCTGTGTGGCTCTTTGAAGAGGCAGCCTCTGTTGATGACTGGTCTGGTCTACCAGAGGAGAGATATGAGGACCTTTGATGGTAGCCTGACCTTGTATTTGGAGTTGCTTCAGCCGGAGTGCTGGTACAGGAGCAGGAACCACTGGAGGGATTTAGTGTGGAGCCGGGCCCAAGGGATGATAGAGATACATGAGATCATCTTGCCTAACAATTTTGATAGTTCAGCTAGGGACACCCTCTTAAGACCCCTGATCTCCTTAACTAATTGCTGAATGCTATTTAGTCTATCTGGTGACAGGTAAACTTTGCCTTATCTATGACTGCCCCCAGATGGGTTAACCGAGTCGATGGTGTTAAATGACTCTTTTTCCAATTTATTGAGAAGCCGTGTTGTTGTAGGGATTGTAATGTGTTCTGAGTGTCTTTGACTGCTTGATGGGCGGAAGATGACAAAATCAAGATGTCATCAAGATAACACTGGAGTCGTACGGGGATATCATGGAGATGAGCAGCTAGCGCTGCGAGAACCTTCGTGAAGGTCCTGGGGCAGAAGCTACTCCGAAAGGAAGGGCCACATATTCAAAATGGTGGTTATTATAACAGAATCTCAGAAATTTATAGTGGGAAGGCCAAATAGCAATATGCAGGTACGCCTCCGTCAGGTCTATGGACGTGAGGACGTCACCCTTTCTGATGCCAAGTAAGATAGATTGCAGGGTGTGCATTTTAAACTTGCAATATACTAAGAAACGGTTGAGACATTTCAGATCTAATATTGCTCTCCACCCCCCCGAACTTTTTGGAACAACAAAAAGATGTGAATAGAAACCTCGCCCTCGTTGGGTGGTGGCTACTGGCTGGATGGCTCGTATATCCAGTAGGTGTTGGATAGCTGTTTCCATGAGATTACATTTAACCGGGTCTCTGGAGAGAGGGCATGACATGAAAAAATCTGGGGGAGTGGATTGGAACTCCAGCGCAAGGCCAAATCTAATCGTGTCCCTGACCCAGGAATCAGAGGTTGAGGAGTCCCATTGGTCTGCAAATAATTTAAGGCATCTGCCAATGGGGGTCGGGTCCAGGGAGTTATCTTGGACGCTGAAAGGGCCTGTTTCCTGCTCCCTGAAAGGATCTTTTGGATTGACCACCCCTTCTGCCCCTATCCCCGAAGTTGGACCTGTCTGGCTGCTGCCCTGGTCTGAATTTCTGGGTGAAAAAGATCCCTGGTAAAAGGGCCGAAAGGATCCCCTCCAAAAGGACTGAGGGTTTCTAGGATCTGACTTCCGAAAAAGGGAAGGAAGAATTTTCTTTTTGTTACGGGTTTCAATTAGTAGCGGATGAAGGGAAGGGCCAAACAGTCTGTCTCCCACAAATGGGGATGAAGCCAGCTTGCATTTGTGCTTAAAATCCGCTTGCCAATGTTTTAACCATAGCAAGCGTCGCGCTGTGACATGTGAAGTAATGGCCCTGGCTGAAAACTTGACTGCATGATAAGTTGCGTCAGCTGAGAATTCAGCAGCTGCTATAAGTTTAGCAATATCTTGGTGCGCTCTAAGATTAGAATTAGGGACATGTTCCCGTAAGAGGCGGAGCCATCTGAGAGAAGAACGGGTGAAGAAGGAGGCGGCCGTGGCTGCTCTGATGGCCCACGCGTCAGACTGATGGGCTGTGCATAGGGCTAGCTCGGCCCGTTTTTCCTCCGGCTTTAATGCCTCCAGCGCATCACTGGGAATGGAGGAGGACGCTAATCCCACTATAGGTTCATCTACCTCGGGAGTATTCAATAATTTTGAGAAATCAGGGGCCATATTTCCTGTCATATCCAGTGGGGGCTGGGTACACCACTGCAGAAGCCCACTGTTTCTGTACCAGGTCCGAAAACATGGGAGGAACTGGGATCACCTCTGCTTCAACTACTGGTTGGTTGAAAATTAGATCCTCTGGTCCCTCTTCCGAAGGAGTTGGAGTGGTAGAAGGGGTCGACTTGTTTAGGCGTGCAATATTTTTTGCCTTAAACAAGAGAGATCTGAAAAGTTGTGGGTGGAATAAGCCTGTAAAAACAGGTTGGTCAGGAATAAGACCCTCATCCTCAGACATTCCCCTTTCTAAGGGGTCTGCTTCTGACAGGGGCTCGCTGTCATGTATTGATCCTGATTCAATATCTTCCATTTGAGCAATTTGATCCGCTTCTTCTTCCTCCTCCTTCTCCTCCTCAGTCAGCCCTTGGAGGGGGACCTCCCCTTGTAAATGTACCTGGGTATGGTGCTGCTCCGACCTGGTCAATGACCTCAGCGATTGGGAATCATGATCGGTGATCACAGGATATTCCCTGGTCATAACTGCGTGTTGAACATCTGCTGCGATTCCCTGGCGGATTGCCAGCTCCATCCAGGCCTTCATCCTCTCTGGAACTTCCTCTGTAAGACTATCGTCCTGACGAAGACCAGCAGCCGTCGGAGTGAATGTGGCTTCGAGAGCCCTGTGGTCGGTGTCCCAGATACTTGGGCCTGTTGGCCTTGGGGAGCTAAGCTGCGCCTGGATGAGAGGGAGAGATCTAGGGGAGGAGGAGGGTGGGAAGAGGTAGATGGACCTGGGCTGGAGGAGGGGAAGTCCTGTGAGACCTTGTGCGCCTCCCGTGTGCACTTATCTGTTTTTGTAAAGTTTTATGGCGCCTGATGGCGTCCCTTTCTGAAGTTTTAGAATTCCCTTTAGCCTGCTTAGGTTTGTGCTGAGATTTGGCTTTGACCTTCAAGGATGAGGTCTGAGAGCTGCTACTATCTGCCATTTCGATTGAAATTGGAATTGCAGTATGCTTGTTATACAATGCAATACTGTGAAGGCGGTTGGCACGCCCAGGGGCCTGATCTGAGGACAGACCGGTTGCCCTGATGATGTTTTTATTGCCCACTTTCCTCTTTTTTTTTTTTTTTTGAATAATACCTATCTAAAATGAGTTGTATCTCAGTAATAATATTTTATTGATATTAAAATATTATACTGAAGAGAAAATTATTATTGTTGTTGTTGTTATTGTTATTATTATTGTAACCATATATATACACATATATAGCAATATGTATATGAATATTAATTAAGTGGCACGATGTTATGTGCTGAGAAACCAAACAGCCAAATTGAGAACGCCTAGAGGCCCAGATTGATAAGGATAGAGGCCTTCAACAGCTTCCCTGCACAGGCGGACACAGGCCTAAGTGCTCGCTGTTGTGCCTCTGGGTTGATTGGGCTGTGAGGGTTAAGCCAACAATTTAACTGTAAGAATAGCCTCGAATGTAGAAAAAAACCAAGACAAGGGTATAATGGTCCCCAGTATTTCTGAAGGGAACCTCTGCTCGGAACAGAGCTACCTCACACAGCACGAAATGGAATACAGGCGCGCGGCCACGAGGTCTTGTAAGAAAAGATGGCCTCAGGCCGTTAATCTTTTGGCGCGCTCCCCAGCAGCAAACTCCCACCGTGTAAAGGAATAGCCTCCGATGGCTTTTCCTATGAGGCTAAACGGCGGGGAAGGGTGGAAGGTACTAAGTATTTGAATCCTCCACCCCAAATGGCGTTCAGAGGGGGAAGGAAAGCGATACAACTCTGTTGGGAGCAAAGAACTCACGCCGCTGTTCGGGTAAAGAAACGCTGCAGCAATCGGTCGGAATGGCAGGGGTAGAAAGATCGGTTGTGGGGAGGGGGCACGGAGCAGCGCCGAAGCCTCCCGACGCTTTGGGGCGCGAAATGGCGCTTCCCTGAAATGCGAGCGATCTCTGTAATGCGAGTCAACTTCGAGAAATCGCAATGGGATTAGAAGGCTAAAGTATTCTAAAGACAAGCTGATTAACTTTCAAACCTGCTAGCAAAGAAAGAATTTTTCCTGTTTCGGCCAAGGAAGAATCACAAGCACTGCCTATCTCTCACGAGGCTGAGCCAAAACTGGGGAATGCTGGGGAGGAGTACCGTGGTGGAGGAGGAGCGTTCCACAAATTAAGCCCAGCCTAGACATGCAGAGACTGAAGCACCTCCCACTACTGGATGCTCTGAACAGCTCATGGGAGAAAGTGTATGTTAGTGTTCAAAGAAGTCATTAATTTTATGCAAATAGCCTCCTGCAAACACTGCTCAAACAGAAGTCTTCTCCTAAATGTCATTTGAACAATTAGGCGCATATAAAAAGTGCATTTGTATATGTCAGGGGTGTCAAACTCGATTTCATATGAGGGCCTTGTCAGGGTTGTGTTTGACTTCCAGGGGCTGGGGTGGGGGTGGCCAGCTTGACGTCACTCGTGTCAGGGACGCCTGTGGTGGCCCAAGTGCTCTGCCAGCGAAAATGAGATCCCAAGGTCTGTTTTCGGCTGTGATAGCTTCCTGCAATTCTCTTCCAGCGAAAACAGAGTTTGGGAGGGCCGCACACAGCCCTCCCGAGCTCTGTTTTTGCTGGCAGAGGCACCGTGGGCTCATTGTTTTCAGGGCGGCCTGCAGGCCAGATCTAAGCATCCCGCAGGCCAGATGCAGCCCGCGGGCCTTGAGTTTGACAACTGTGTATATTTTAGTCTTTTATACAGCCACAAAACCATCACTGGACAACTCATGTATCCTTTGAACTGAGACGTTTGGACACAATAAAGAATTTTAATTTAGCTTATTAAATTAATTAACTGAAGAGAATGTTTCAGTCCCTTCTTCCTAATGTTGTGAGAGGAAGAAGGCTGTCTTTTGTGATAAAGTGTGATTTAACTGCACAATATAAAATTACCCTTTTTTCTTTACACTTTATACCTCTTTTCTTCATGGCCTCCTACAATCCTTGAGAAGATACAAAAAGGTTCTCTTCGGTCAACCATAATTTATGAGGTGGACTTGAAGATTTGCTCCTCTTACAAAAATTAAGCAAGGCAACCATTCTACCTCATATTCACCACAAAGGTTATCAATTCACAAGAGGCCTTACCTTTACTACAGAATGTTCTACCCGAGGGATGCTGATCATAGACATTTGTCCCAGATTGTCCATGTGTGACTGTTCATGTTCTGGTTGCCTACCTCTAAAATTATTAACCACACATACCACCTAGAAAAAAAAGAAAGTTCTTAGATACCATGAAGCCATTATAACACCGGAGTCTTGCTGGAAATACCATTACAATTAAAACTGTACAATTTCCAAAATATATGCACCCCACCCCCCCAAAAAAGTTTTAATTTCATGCACTGTGAATTTATGTAATTATAAATCCAGTACAGGTAGTTCTCGACTTACAACTTGGTGACCGTTCAAAGTTACAACAGCACTGAAAAAATTATTTATGACCATTTCTCACACTTATGACCATTGCAGCATCCCCATGGTCACCTGTATGCTTGGTAACTGACTCACATTTATGACAATTGCAGTGTCCCAGGATCATGAGATCCCCTTTTGCGACCTTCTGACAAAGCAAAGTCAATGGGGAAGCCAGATTCACTTAACTGTTACTAATTTAACAAATGCAGTGATTCGCTTAACAAATGTGAAAGAAAAAGCATAAAATGGGGCAAAATTCAAATTTTTCACTTAGCAACATATATTTTAGGTTCCATTGTGGTTGTAAATTGAGGACTACCTGTATAGTGGGAGGAGAATTTGCCACATTATTCCTGGGGTTTAAAACAGTATTTTCAAACATTTAGGCAATATTTCCAAACTATAATATAATTGCAGAGGGTGTAGCTTGATAGAATGGGACCTTAAAAATGGAACATCTTTAAATTAAAATAGAAACATGACAGTGTAAGGGCAGATACTTGATGAGGCTGGAATCCTGGATTCTCAGGCCTGAGAAAGTCATTTTATAAACAAGGGATGGATAATCTTGGAAAGAAGCAACTCAGTAACTACAGACTCAAAAATGCAGGAGAAAGGAGTCACATGGAAATGATAATGATAACGATAAGAAGAACTCTTTAAAAATTGCTCTCTGAATAGAATAGTCTAACAGTACAAAGCTCATAGATGGAATAACATGATGCAATACGATGACTTTAGCCAGGGAGAATAATAAACACTTGTATTTACTGAAATACAGCATATGATTTTATATAGTTCTTTAATCAAGCATTTAATTATAAATGCTTGTCATTCTTGAGAATAGCCTGTATCCTGACAGATTAATGAAATGATGGATTCTACAAAGAGTCAGACATATAATAGGTAGAAAAATGTGTAGCTTATACATACCAAAAACACTGCTATTGAAATACCGACGAGAAATCCTGCTATCACATCTGACCAGTGATTTCGATATTCTGCTACTCTGTTGATACCAGTAAGAAATGCCATACACATTATGCTCAAGCAAAGAACTGGTTTTGCCAGCCTGGTTCCTCTGGCCTTTATTGTGTGGGTGATGTACATCTAGGAACAAACAATAATAATAAAAAAAGGTAATGAAAATAAATGCAATGCAATATCCATCGATTTTCATCCAGTTATTGAGGATTTTGAATACCTGTCCCACTTTTGAAGAATAATGATTTTTTTAAAAAAAAAATCATATAAATTAACATTTATGCCAGGAATCCAAAGTTGTTATTGGTTTATTTATTGGATTTCTATCCTGCTTTTGGACTGAAATACACTGCAACCCTGAAAATTACGTCTTTTTGTGCCCTCATCCCCTGGTTGAGACCGGTGATAAATATTAATACAGAAACAGGCACAATCCATGATCGAGTGAGAACCAGAGATGGGTAGCTCTCAGCTTACAACCACAATTGAGCTCAAAATTTCTGCTCATCAGCGAAAAAGTTGTTAACTGAGTTTTGCCCCATTTTGATGACCTTTCTTGCCACCGTTGTTAAATGAATCACTCTAGCAGAGGTGGCATTCAGCAGGTTCTGACCAGTTCTGGAGAACCGGTAGCGGAAATTTTGAGTAGTTCGGAGAACCAGTAAATACCACCTCGGACTGGAGATTTTACAGTATCCTTCTTCCCCTGCCACGGCCACCGGTAGTAAAAAAAAAATTGAATCCCACCACTGCACTGTAGTTGTTATTAACCTAGTTGTTAAGTGAATCTGGCTGATTTTGTTGACTTGGGTTTGTCAGAACGTTACACAAGATAAATACATGCTGGTTGCCAAGCATCCGAATTTTGATGTGACTACAGGGATGCAGCAACAGTCATAAGTGTGAAAAAACAGTCCTGAATCACAGTCCTGTTTTTTTAAAACTTTGAACTAAATGAAGGGTTATAAGTCAAGGACGACCTGTATGGTTATATTTCTCATTTGTGTTAAAGATTCCTCCCTCTTCCCACAATGCATTTAGTGTCACAGTTCTCTGTGCATAGAGATTAAGTGTTATGGCTATTTGGGCTCATTTATGTACATAACGGGGACGCGGTGGCTCAGTGGCTAAGATGCTGAGCTTGTCGATCAGAAAAGTTGGCAGTTCGAATCCCTAGCGCCGCATAATGGAGTGAGCTCCCGTTACTTGTCCCAGCTTCTGCCAACCTAGCAGTTCGAACGCATGTAAAAATGCAAGTAGAAAAATAGGGACCACTTTGGTGGGAAGGTAGCAGTGTTCCGTGCGCCTTCAGCGTTTAGTCATGCTGGTCACATGACCACAGAGACGTCTTCAGATAGCACCGGCTCTTCGGCTTTGTAACAGAGATGAGCACTGCCTCCTGGAGCCAGAAACGACTAGCACGTATGTGCAAGGGAAACCTTTACTTTTACCTATGTATATAACACTACACAAACAGAATTTTCTTGAATAATTTGACTGCTCTTAATCTAACTTAATCATAACTCTTAATCTCTATGCACTGAGAACTGTGACACTAAATGCATTGTGGGAAGAGGGAGGAATCTTTAACACAAAGTTAAAAAGAAATTCTGAAAATAATAAGGAGAAAAACTAATCCTACTTTTATATTGAATATACAGAGGCACATTTAGTAATATTGGAGAGGAAAGGCACTTTTTTTACTTGCATTTTCGTGTACATGCAAGTGCAATCAACATTAGGCAACTATGTTGTGTGCAGAGAAGTGCGATTGAAATTGTTCAGTTAATTAAAAATATTTATGCTGGCTAAATATCTTGCAAGACATAGTCTAGCTAGCAATCTTGTCAGAGTTTATGGCCATCATCCAACACTGCTGCACTTTAAAGTAAAATGAAGAGATTGGGTGCCTAGAATTCCATTAAATTAGAACTTACTTTTTTCTTTGTTGTTTGGCAAAATGTGTTCACTGTAGGCAAGAATCTTCTATATATATATAAAAGAGAAATACCACTCGCATATCATCACAAAATCTCCAGAACCGTAAAGCCTACAAACTTGAAATTGGGCGTTGGTTCTTACCTGATACGCCCCTTCTCGGCGAGCCGCAAGGAGCATCCAGAGACTGGGATGTGCTTCCGAGTCCTCTTCTTGCAGGCTGAGCTTTAGATGAGGAAACGCTCCGCCCCCTCACGTGACATCGCGGAGCGCCTCCCCAGTTTTTGCGATAACGAGAAGAGAGGTTATTGATTCTTTCTAATCTACTATTGGCTCCTTGGCTGAAGAAAGAGCCCCCACCAGACGGAGAAATTAGGGTGGGGCTGGATGCTCCTTGCGGCTCGCCGAGAAGGGGCGTATCAGGTAAGAACCAACGCCCATTCTCCCTCGAGCCGCTCGGAGCATCCAGAGACTGGGACATACCAAAGCTGGGCTGTCCTACGGGTGGGACTCCGTCTGGCCCGAAGGCCCCTCCGGATCACTGATGACCCTCTGTAAGACCCGTCGGCCAAAAGAGGCCTCCGCTGAGGCGTACGTATCTATTTTATAATGTCTGATAAACGGGGACGGAGAGGACCAGGTGGCTGCCCGACAAATGTCAGCGATGGGGGCTTGTGTGGCCCAGGCCGCCGAGGTGGCTGCACTTCTGGTGGAATGGGCGGTTATCCCACCCGGAGCGGGCAGAGAATGGGAAAGGTAGCACCTCGCAATAGTAGCCCTGATCCAGCGACTGATGGTGGAAGGGGAAACCTTAAGCCCCATTGACCTGGGTTGAAAGGATAGGAAGAGGGATTCCGACCTTCGCATGGATTGAGTGCGCTTAATATAAATACGCAAGGCCCTTCTAACATCTAGGGTGTGCCAGAGGACCTCCCTGCCCCTGGAGGGCCTGGGGCAGAAATTTGGTAAAATCAGTTCCTGTGACCTATGGAAGGGAGAGTTAACTTTGGGTAGAAAGGTAGGGTCGGGACGAAGGACCACCCGGTCTGCGTGGAACACGCATAGATCGCTCCTGACTGACAGAGCTGCTAATTCCGAAACTCGACGAGCAGAAGTAATAGCTACTAGAAAAACTACCTTGAAGGTGAGAAACTGCAGGGATGACTCCCTCAAAGGCTCGAACGGGGGACGTGTAAGAGAAACGAGGACCTTGTTGAGGTCCCATGTGGGGAACCTGTGAACGGTAGGAGGGCACAGGTTGGTGGCGCCCCTAAGGAAAGATCTAACCCTGGGGTGGTGAGAAAGGGAACCGTAGTTATCACAGGAGACCACGGTTGAGAGAGCAGAAACTTGCCGTCTCAGGGTGTTAGGTGCGAGCCCCTTGCGAAGACCCTCCTGAAGAAATTCCAGGATCTGTGCCACCGAGGGAGAGAGGGGATTAACCTGAGACCCGCTACACCACTTGCAGAACCCTTTCCAAGTGGCATCATAAATTCGTGTGGTGGAAGGGCGCCTGGCGGCCAAAATAGTGTCGATGACTTGAGTTGAAAGATTCTCAGAAGTCAGACGGATCCGCTCAACCTCCAGACGGCTAACTGGAGCCATTGAGGCTCCGGATGCAGAAGGGGCCCCTGAGAGAGGGAGACCTTGTCCGGGGGGATCCTCCATGGGGGCGCTACTGATAAGATGCGGAGATCCGCAAACCATGGTCGCCTGGGCCAATAGGGAGCCACCAGGAGAAGTTCTGCCCTCTCCTGAATGAGTTTTTGAACTACTCTGGGAACTAACGGGAGCGGAGGGAAGGCATATAGGAGCCCTGGGGGCCATGGGCAACGCAGAGCGTTGTGATTCTCCGACCTGTGAGACGGATACCGGGAGAAGAACCGTGGAAGCTGAGTGTTGGTCGGGGAAGCGAAGAGGTCCACCACCGGAAGGCCGAATATTCTGGACGCTTCCTCGAAAAGGGATGGATGGAGACGCCATTCCGCCTGGTCCACCGTGGCCCTGCTCAGCCAGTCCGCCTGAGTATTGTCTACTCCGGAGATGTGTTCGGCTTTTAAAGATAGGAGGTTGGATTCTGCCCAGCGGCAAAGGCGCTCGGCTTCCCTCATTAGCTGGATGGACTGGGTGCCCCCTTGCTTGTTGATATGGGCCTTGGCCGTGACGTTGTCCGTGAGCACGAGAACGTGATGATTGCGGATCTGAGGAAAGCTGCGCAGGGCCAGAAGGACGGCGTGAAGCTCTAGCCAATTGATGCTGCACCCCTGCTCGGTCAGCGACCATTTGCCCTGTGCAGAGATCGAGTCGAGATGAGCGCCCCAACCGGATAGGCTTGCGTCCGTAGTGACGGTGAGTCGTTGAGGTTCCGCGAATAGGTGGCCTCTGTTGATGGCGGGATTGGTCCACCAGAGAAGAGACGTGAGGACCTTTGGAGGGACCCTGACCTTGACCCTCGAGTTGCTTCTTCCGGATCGTTGGAACGGGCGCAGGAACCATTGGAGGGATCTGCTGTGTAGACGAGCCCAGGGAATAATGGAGATGCATGATACCATTTTGCCCAACAATTTAGAGAGGTCCAACAAGGCCACCCTCCTTGAACGCCTGATCTGATTGACCAGGGCTTGAATGCTAAGGAACCTCTCCGGAGAGAGGAAAACTCTCTGTGACACCGAATCAATTATGGCCCCCAAGTGGTTAATTCGAGTAGAAGGGGTAAGTTGGCTCTTTTGCCAATTGACTAGAAAACCGTGTGCCCGTAAGGCGGAGAGGGTGACCCTGGTATCCCTGACTGCCTGGGATTTGGACGGGGAGAGAATAAGAATATCGTCCAAGTAGCAGTGGAGGCGGACGGGAACGGTCCTGAGATGGGCCGCCAGGGCCGCCAGGACCTTGGTGAAGGTCCGGGGGGCCGAAGCCAGACCGAAGGGTAGGGCCACGTATTGATAATGAAGGTTATTATGGCAGAACCTGAGGAATTTGTAATGGGAGGGCCTGATTGGAATGTGGAGGTATGCCTCCGACAGATCTATGGAAGATAACCAGTCTCCCCGCCTGGTGCCTAAGAGAATTGATTGCAAGGTGTGCATCTTGAATCTACGCTGGATGAGGTGACGGTTGAGCCGTTTCAAGTCTAGGATGGCTCTCCAACCCCCAGAGTGTTTGGGCACCACAAAGAGATGGGAGTAAAA